TCGCTCTAACCCTAATTATAACGCGGTTTTATAAATCACGGGTGGGGAAAATTTTTGTGGGTGCGCTACCTAAAATAGTTATATGTTTCACGTAATGGAATTATTATTGATCATTACCTAATTAGTATTTGAAATACCCATTATCACATGTTAAAACTGATTTAACATATATATACCGTAGTTATAATTAAAGATAATAAAAATATTGATTAAAAATTAGTGACGGTTTAGGGGATAACTTATATAATTATTATGTATTTATCGTCTGTTCCTGGTTTAGTGAGACAATGTCGCGCAGCTACTTATAAAGCCTTATAAATTTGCATTAATAAATATTCGTTTAATTCACTTCCGATTTTTTTATTTTGCTTCCGCTGACATTCAATAAAAAAAGTATTAACCTCTTAAAATGAATTACAAGTTCTTGTTAACCCTCTTATTAGCTCTTGCAACTATTAATGTAGTAGCAATCGCTAGTCCTCATTATCGAAGAGAAGCATCGCCATTAATGAAAAAGGGGTAATAAATGATATATATATATTTATTTATCTAACAAACGCTAAAAATGCAAATTATATTTTAACAATTTCAGGCAATCATGTGGATTAATTTGTTTATACGTTTTATATACTATTGAAGAATGCCTTGAATATTGTAATTCAATCTGTGTAGTTGACAGCACCGAATATGCTTCGTGTTGTTTTACATCTACTGATTAACAACATCAGTAAAGTTTTATTATTGCTTGATAGTTACATATACAAATTAGTTAATACTGTAGTACTCATGTCGATTCCTTAATCTAATAGTTTTTAAATTCTAGACCTTTCTTAGTAAATTCATAGATTTATTTAATTTTTTGTTTGCCTAAACCGAATTCTATTTTTTTTTTATTTTTGTTATTTTTTTGCTTTAAAATAAGATCTATGATTTCTTGAAATTGAAATCAAATTATTTTTAAACGCATTAGAGTTAAAATAGGTTCACAAAAATGTGAAACTATAATTTATTTTGTATTGTTCTCAAAAATAAGAGTAGAATTAATTTTATTAATATTATTATAATAAAATACAGTATTTACATTATCTACACAACATTCTAATTTAATTTTAATATTATACCTATAAACGCGTAATAACGCACTGAGCGTTATTTCGAAATTTCAATTTTTTTAAAAATGACATAAAATAACGCCCTTGTGCTTCTCAAAATAACGCGCCCCTTCATATGTACCAGCTTATTTTTCACGTGCTATTTTTAATCTTAAATAAATTAGAATAATAAGCTGAGGTTCAACTTCTAATCTGAAACCTATTTATTATCATATGATTAAATATG